ATACATTCCATATGGCGTTTGCAATACCTTGTTTTAATATTTGCTAAATAATAATTCATTTAATCAAGTGTCAAACAAAGATTCCACTTTTTTTTTTTATGTTGCAAAGTATAAAGTAAAACATGGAATGCACCCTATAGAGACAATAGAGATATCGCTTATCTCTAATCGTTTCTATATTATGGAACAATTAAAATGGATCAAACTATTTTCTCGATCAAGCGACTTTTGTTTGATATTTATCATATTTAAAATAATGAATAATTTAAAAAATAAAAATGTGTTGAACTATCAAGACAGTCGACAAATTCTTTCAATTAAAAACATTTGAAATATTTTTTAGTAGAACACTTTTGTATTTTCTTTCCAAATGTATTTCAAATGATTATTACAATTTATTACACGGTAATAGGAGCGGGTGGAGGTAGATCTTTGGACGGCTTCACCTCGGAAATCGGAACTGACGGTGGTACCTCTTCTTTCGGCTCCACGATAGATACATAATCGGGAAGAGGTTTTTTTGGGCCACTCTTGCCGTTAGGATCCCAAGGAAGCATAATTTTAACCTTGATTCCCAATACCCCTAAAATATATTTAAAATAAAATATAGAATAAAAAAATACAAATATAAATACCAAAAATAAAACACTAATTTTTTATTATATATTATAAACTGAATATATATTTCGAACTAAATTTTATATAAGTACATTATTATATTACATATTAAAGAAATAATCATGATAATGCAATCATACCTTGTCGAAGAAGCACATGCCGGGTGGCAGTGTTCACATACTCGTTAGTCGGCTCACCTGAGTGTATCATAAGACCATCAACGAATTTCATTGATTTCGCTCTCTGACCACGCAGTTTGCCACTGACAACCACCTCACAACCCTTAGCTCCTGACTCCATGATGAAACGGAGGACACCATAACACGCTCTGATTAAAAACAAAATGTTTAATAGAATGTGATAAAAAATAAGATTAACAGAATACATAGAATAAAGTTCTAAACTTTACCTTCGTACAGCGAGGCCACCAATCAGTTTGTATCGAAGGGATTCTGCCTGTGCAATTGCACATAAGCCACGTGTGGCGACCTTCTCGGCATACAATTCAACATTCTGCGGTTCTTTAAAATTAAAACGTTTCTGTACTACAGACGTAAGCTCTCTGATCCTACGTCCCTTTTCACCGAGTACGCTTTGTGTATGGGTAGCCAACAAGATAATTTCTGTTCGATTTGGTGTAACACGAACTTCTACACCAGAATAGCCATCCTCAGCAAGTTCGCGAGTCAAAAACTCGTTTAGCTCAGCCCTGAAGACACCATCTCCCACAAACTGAAAATAAAAAAAAAAGAAATATTAATACTGAATTTAATTTATTTTTATCATATATAAAATTTAGCATGAAAATTTGTTTATTGAAAAAACTATCACATTAAATGTTAAATATCAAATATAGAAATAAAATTGTTGTAAAATACACTAATATGTAGCAATCTAGATTCCACAAAATTTTATATATTTTAAATCATTTTGTAACGAGACACATGGAATCGTGAAGACCACATGTGAAAGAATCCATATGTGACACTGAAAGCATTTCCATTACGATTCTAGCATTATTCCGGTGAAATATTATTCCAAAAATTTTCAGCACTGCAATAAATATATTTCTATGCTTGCTCAAATTTATTATATATTTTATATTTATTATATAAATTCTTGAAAAAACTACTAACCTTCCTCTTCTTCGATATTGAACGATTTTCCATATTCAGGATACTGATGAATCACAGATTTCTTTCAATTGAATTACGACTAAAATATAAAGAGAATTACGTTAATTATAATTGTGCTTAAACATATATAAATCTAAATTTATAAATTCCTAAATTTATAACATTAATAGACCGCTTACTTTTCTTAACCTTTCGTGTTTTATATGATTCCATAAAGGCCGTATGCGGAGTCTACAATACGATGAGTCTACAATTCATTTTAAAGTCATAACAACCAATCAGAAGCCGTAATATCAATTGTTGACGCTTCTGATTGGTTCTTGCAACATACGACAATACAATCCAATAAGAAAATTCACTTCCTAGAGTTTCTAGCTGGTAATATTTTATCTTGAGAAAAGATAAGCGTTTTCCATTGGAAAAACTAATGCAACACTGGTACAATTGAGAGCAAATTGACTTATATATTTCCAGTGTTAATAAATAATTTAATCCTTTTAAGCTTATGAAGTTATCGTGACATCAAAAAATACGTAATATAAAAGGATTAATCAATACTGAATTATTTAGTTAGTTATTATTAAGTTATTTATCAATACTGAAAATATGTGAATTAATTTGCATTCAATGTGCGTCAGTTGCACTAATTTTCTCAATGGAAAATTTTCCTATTGGCAGTGTGAAGCCTGCATAACGGCGTCTGCTAGCGCTGGCACTACTGCGTTTGCGCGAGACTTCATCCCTCCATCTCGCAACGTACAGCTTGTCGTTTCGCGGCTTGTGTCGGTGTTGTTACGATCTTTCTCTCGTGTTGTTTCCATTTTTGCTCTCTCTCTGCCTCGAATCTCTGATTTATACGCTTCTGAAAGCTACTTCGATTGATTCCCCGTGCTCGCATCGTATGAGGCACGGTGAAATTTTATCGTTTACATTCTCCATTGACGGGCACACGTTTCCAGGATGCCCAAGAGGAAGCATCAGGCCCTCATAGATTCCGACAGTAGCGGGAGTGCGTCGGAGAGCGGTTCGGACTTGGACAATGTAAATAGCTTAGCCTTTATGTAAAAGTCCTGTGCCATTCACTTCTACGTCCATTATCATACCGTATGTTTATCTCCGTTCATGAATTGTAAAGTGCACGCTAAACTGCGTTTACGTTCTAAGCGACTTTGCATAATTTACGGTAATACCCAATACAAGTACAGAAATATATATGTACGAATTTTATGCAATATTAAACCAAGTATTTTTTAAGATTGTAATGTGAATACACTAGGTAATAAAAGTCTTAAATGATCAAGCTGGATTTTCAGCTTAAATAATTCAGTAAATTATTAATTTCTGAATTATCAATGTTTTAAGATAAAACAATGTATTTTTAGTTTTTTATTTTTAAATTATCTAGATTTTTTTCTTTTTAATGCTTGTAGAACAATTGCAAGAAGTATACTGTACGTAATATAAAATATAAAATGCAATATATAATTGTTTATAACACATATAATGTCAGTAACATTAATAATGTGATTGCTTGTCAAAACTCATGGAGCACAATGCACACAATATGGAACTGAGCTGTTATAATTTTTTCTATAATTTTATTATTAGTAATTGAGCATGTGTCTCTTCACTAAATTTTAGGATCTATTGTCATTGGCAAAGAAAAAGAAAGGAAAATCCCAAGATGATTCTCAATCAAATGAGGATAACGGATCCATTAAGGACACCAAACATGATTCAGATATATCAGATTCTGATGATTGGAATAACAAAGCTGGAAAAACAAAGAAAAAAAAGTCACCATCAAAGAGAAGTAAACGAAAGATGACAAAGTCCAGCTCAGAGGACAGTGCCAGTGAGAAAGAACCAGCTAAGCAGCTTTCGGAGCCAGAAGAAGGTACATGGAAATTAAATCTTTTACAAATGTATACTTTGTTTTTTCTTAAATATGTGAGTATGATCTCTTAAGTTTTGCTATTATAAATAACAATCACTTTATTGTAACAGGTGAAGTATCAGATTCAGATCCGAGTGGTTCCAGTTCCAGCCAAGAAGAATTCAACGATGGCTATGATGACAAACTTATGGGAGATGCGGAGGATCAAGCTAGACTTGCACAAATGACTGAGAAAGAACGTGAACAGGAAATCTTTAAACGAATTGAACAACGTGAAATTATGAAAACAAGATTTGAGATTGAGAAGAAATTAAGAATGGCCAAGAAACAGGAATTGAAAAAACAAAAGGAATCGAAAAAGAAGGAGAAGGGAATTGAAGAGAAGCAGAAAATAGATCGAGCCCCAGATCCTAAAGAGAGGAGTAAAGATCGCAAGAAGACAATAGAAGAAAAGCAAGACAAGAAGTTTCATGCAATGTCGTTGCTCAAAGCTAGACGCGAAGAGAAGAAGGAACGAGGTAGATTTCTCATATATTGTTATCTTCTTTCATCAGAAATATTAGAAATATTTCTAATCCCATTTTTTTATTAATAGAGGAAAAAGAGAAACAGAGGATAGAGCAACAACAACAACAATCAAAGGATATGGAGGAAGAAGAATTGGAAGATGATCATAAAGCAGCTGCAAACAAAACAAAACTTAAGGCATCTGATATATATTCCGATGACAGTGGTTCATCGGATAGTGGAGAAGAGGAAGAAGTAACTAAACCAGCCCCTCTACGTAGATCATCTTCGAGTGAAAGTCGCGATTCAGATTCCGACAACGATAAAAAGTAAGTTTTTAGGCTATTTTTTATTCAATGATATTTTTTGTATCTCTCTTATTCAGCCATATTCTTATTTAATATAATTATTTTAGATCGATTAC